CATGATGCTCCTCAAAGCGTTCGCGAAGTTTACTGTGATAAAGCTAGGGAGTTCATCTCCGTGTGTAAGAAGATTGGAGTACCGGTTGTGCGCTCTACCCCTGGCATGCCGAGGACGAACGCTATTGCTGAGAGCAAGGTTAAGCTTGTGCTACATGGCGCTCGTGTCGCACTTAGACAAGCAGGCCTCGAAGCCAAGTTCTGGCCATATGCCTGTAGACACTTCTGTTTTGCTCGGAATATCGAGATGGAAAAGGGATCATCAGCGTTTGACCGCAGAAACGATAGAACCTGCTTTGATGGTCAACGATTACCCTTTGGCTGTCTTATTGACTTCTTTCCCACGCCCTCGCGAAAGAAAACGAAAAGAAGCGTAAAGGACGAGTGTGTTTTGGGGGATGGCGAAGAGTACGCTTTTCCCGCCAACGATGATGATGATGACAACGAGTCAGTCGATTTTGAGGGTGGTGTCCCGCTCGACGATTTAGACCCGCCGGAAGAGTGGATTGAAGCGGGTGATGAAGAGAGAGAAGGTGTTGATATAACGATCGATGGGAAAGGCAAGTTATCATCCTATCAGCGAGTCGGGAAGTTTTCGCCGACGAGTAAACCAGGCATCTTCCTTGGATGCCACCTCGAGATTGGAGGAAAGTGGAAGGGTGATTACATTGTCGCCGATCTTGAGGACTTCAAGCGGGACCCGTCGCGTGCGAGTGTGCATCAGGTCAAGAAGATATACTGTTCGCCCAGCGAGCGCTGGACTTTTCCAATGCGAGCAGTATACGATAAGAAATCTCGCACGATATGTTTGAACGATCCTGCAATGCAGAAGATCACCTAGAGCCGTGATGATGGCCTCTTCTATGAGCCTGGTGTTGATAATGAGAAGGCGCTCTTTGAGTTTGATGCTGGCCGTGACGCTTCCGAAGCTGATATCGAGCAGGCCAGGATCGCACATGAGCGAGCCGCGTCATCACACGGAGGAGGAGGAGTCGATTATTGAATATAAGGCCGATGAACACAAACGGATATACCATGTTGTCGTTCCAAGGAAGGCCATGGTTCACCCTAGCAAGACTTTTTAACTGCCTTGGGCCCTACACGCATCCCGTTGGCGACGCCAACTTTGCCTAGTGAAACCTAGTAGTTCGGACCACCCCTTTCGATCTGAGGCCACCTCAAGCAAGCGTAGTTTGACTGTCTTATGATTCCCGCGCCCCTCATAAAAATGGTCGTTACAAATGGTCATTGCCCTTCGGCCCACTTATGTCGCCTTCTCCCCGACCGGAACGGCACCCCCCACATTTGTGGTTCTAGGAACGGTCAAACGAAACAATGCGGGCGGGGTGGTCTTGCGGCCTTCGCAGGATGTGCCCCAGTAGCTTAAGCTGGTGTAACCGGACTTCATCACTAAGCAAGGTTTCGTTCAGGTTGGCTCTCGCAGCTTCGTTGGAGATCCTTGCCACT